GCAGCCACAAACCCCAGCGTCATTGGCACCGCCGCCGCCGGGTGCATCCGCCTCCACCACCCAGCCTTCTTCGCCTTCACCTCCGCCAGAGTACTCAACCCCTGCACCACGAAGAACAACGTCACCTCACCGGTCGGCCTCTCAACCGTCATATAATAGAACACGACCTCGTGCATTAGCCCGGAGACGATAAACGCCGCGATCATGCCCGCGCCCGTGCCCGACCGAGACCGGACCGGGTCATAGACCGAAGGCCGCAATATGCCGGTGACCATCAGGTTCCACCGGCGGCCCCAGAAATCCTGTAGCGAGTCGGATTTGAAGGGGTTGTTGGCCTGGGGCTCAAGGGTGAGGCCGAGCAGAGCGCCGACGGAGAACCTGGTGATGGAAAGGATGAGGTCTAGGATGAGATAGATGTAGAGGGAGTAGAGGGCGAGTACTGCCCAGGGGTGGATTTGGGATTTGTAGCGGTAGATTGGGGTGAGCAGAACGAGCAACGGCAGCCTGATGCAAAAAGGAATGAGAGAGGGGTCAGTGTTGGATTTGGGATGACAGCTTGTTTGGATTTTGACGGGGAGCGAGGAGATGGCGATGAAGGTGGGGAGGGGGAGGTGAGGGGAGAGGGGGCCCACGCCGAAGGAGAGGAGGAGGAGCTTGAAGACGCCGAGCCAGGCGAGGAAGAAGGCCGTAGTGCCTCGGAGGTTGACGGAGGTGAAGCGCCAAGGGAGGCACGGGAGGAGGAGGATAACTGGGAGGAGAGAGAGTAGCCGGAGCTTTCCTGGTCCGATGCTTGAAGAGGCGAAGCGAGCGTAGGTCATTGACGCGACGAGCCATGCTGTTACCTTGATGAGGGATTCAAGATTCCCCTCCGTTGCCATCGGTTTGAGATTTGCTTGCTGGGATCAAATTAGGGATGAACAAAAGAGAACAGGAAAAGTCAAGGTGAGAGGCGCTATTAGAAAATAGCACGAGCAGCACGCAGGACAAGCGCGGCCTGCAGTCCAACGCGCAGATTCGCGAGGACGTCGGATTCGTCCCCGGTCTGGCCGCGACTTTCAGGTGCGGATTCGCGAGGGGGTACAACAAAAAGCATTGACTTCATTCATCCAAGAGGCGTTTGAATAGAGATTTAAGTGCGCTTAGTTTGTACAACTAGGAGGAAGGTTTATTTTAATTTCGTGTTTGGAAAATAAGGAAACGATAAGAAGGTTGATCTCTTAATTTTGTTTAAAAAGTACTACCTTCTTGTTGGGGATTCGAAACAATCAATCGAACCCTTGCCCTTTAGGACCTTGTGTTAAAAGTAGGAAAGTAGGAATAAAACCACAAATAAAGATCTAACTTGCAAAAAACAGTAAAGGAGATGAACACACAGATTTAACGAGGTTCGGCAACGTGCCTACGTCCTCGGGAGCCACACCACACAATCTCTTTTATTAATTGAAGAAGAATACAAGCTCTCAAACTAGGGTTTTAT